ATAAATATGTTGGGACACAGCGCCATCTAGTTCCATGGTAAGCTACGAGGCTCGTGTTATGGATACCAGATAGTTGATACACTACATATATATATAACTTTAAATACATACATATTATAAATACAACATTAAAAAAATAGTAGTTATATAAACAAAATAGTTCAATTATTTAAATAACAGAAGATCAGCACTTATTTACTACGGTAGTAAATTAAAGTTTTTGAAAGACGTGTGGAATGCAGGCGTCTTAATAAACAACCTATTAAGGAAATCAAATGTCACAAAGAGAAATAAGAGGAAGTCTTGATGATAATGGATGAATAATTAAAAGACAATGGCGGTTGAAGACGTACGGCGACAAGCAATTAATTCAAACAACCAAAACAAGAACTTATGACGTCGGGTTTCTTCAGCTTCCAATTTAAATTATCATTAAAAACTTTTGTCCCATATAAAATAACTTTAATTTTCTACTTGGATCACATAAACAAGTATGAAGTAAGATATAAAAATGATAATAGTTAGTGAAAGTCTTAGATATGCTTAAACATTTGTGGTATGTGGTTTATCTAAGTTTGCTGGAGGTCGTGAGTTCGATTTTCCAGACCTCAAAATCCAGTCTAGATATTATAAACTACAAAGAAATAGGCTTGGAAAACACGCAATGAAGTAAGGGTGAAAACCCACTTGTATTATGTTACACTTTAATAATATAATATACGCAAACTTTTCATAAATGATTTTTTCATTATGTAGAAATAGGATTTAGCTACATGTAAAATAACTATATTTAAATTGTCTACAAATACTTATTTAAATTTTTTTTTGTTATCATCTTGAGTGAAATCTACCTGTACTACTTCATATACAGTACCTCAAGAAAAATTGTGTAAAATAAAGACAAAAATCCAAAAACCGCTTAAATTAATATAACTTCATATGAAAGGTGCACTTGCACCCCCTTGTCATGAACGAAAATTATAGGAAATGTTAAAGAAATAAAATCTTATTAGTAAAATTTCATTTTAAATTTGGAAAATATAATAAAATTAATAATTTAAAGATTAATTAGTAATTTAATATGAAGAATCAAGAAGCAGATGTACTCCCCTGGAAATAATTCTGCCGCTGCCCATAATCAAAGTGAAATCCCTCGAAGAAGCCATTCAATAAAAATATCGTTAAAATGGCGAAATCTAGTGACGTCACAAATCATTGAACATAAAGTCTTCAAAAACAGTCTTCGCTATAGATCGTAAAGCTAACTTGAACTTCATCATTAGGTATATAAAATATAGGTACTTTCTATGTATACGGCTTTTCTTTTCTGGGCTTTATTTAATGTTTTGTTTTACGGTTTTCGTAAATTAATGAAAAGAAGCCGTAAAAACTAAGGTTTAATTGGAGTTGAGTACACTTAATTTACCAATACCTTATTTTTGGACGACAGATGTACCTCCATGATAGTAAAATAACAGAAGTAAGATAAAAATTGTCATTTGTATACTATCTTAAAACATGGTTTAGCTTTATGTTAACTTCTAAGAAACTTTGTCTATATTGTTCCTTAGTCCGAGTTTCCAAGCAAAATATAATATAAAACAATCCAAATTAATAAACATAATATCAAATAAACTTTGCATATTATTTATTCATGAATAATACAAAGAAAAAAAACATTAGCAAAAAGTTCAGACAGGTAAAAATGACAATATCTGTTGCGACACTTGCGATTACTCTTCACACTGTTTCATGGAAATCTGCGACTGGAAACAAAAACAAAATGGTACACGTAAAAGTTTCTACGAAAATGTAGGTCCTACGTATAATATGTTACTTGTAATATAATAATTTTAGGTCTTTTAATAATAAGTTCGATTTATGCTTAAAAATGATTATATTTTACTAGAAACATATAGAGTATTGATACAATGAATATCCATCATCCATATTAATAACCTTAAACCCTGGACTTCACAATCTGAATTCGAACATCCACTAGACCGAAGGGACAGTTAAATATTAAATGAAAAACATAATATATGTTTAAAATACTTCTGTATGCAGGGTCCGGGCTCTCTCAGCTCCTCCTCGCTGAGGTAGTCGCACTGAGTCTCGGGGAAGCCCAGTAACTCGGATATCAAGTTAATGTCTTTGTATGAGGGACGAGCGCGAAGGATCTAAGATACAATGCATAGAGATGATTATTTAGGTATATTGTAAATCCCATCAAAAACATACTGTAAAAAACTTTTTAACAAAAAAATAAAAACCGACTTCAAACAAAAGCACTAAAAAGTAAAAAATAACTGATTGGTAGTTTTCATTTACTATACATACCTAATCAAATATTTTCGAAGTCGGTGTGCTTTGCTTTGTATGGGCTGACACCGATTTCGAAAATATTTGATTAAGTCGGTTAATTTATTCATTACCTATCTATATAAGCATCTATCCGACAACTTTTTTTTTTTTTTAACGTCAGGAAAACCCTGTTCCCGGGTACCCGTCCGCCTGGGGATAGGCGGAACGGGTTATGTGGGGCTCCTGCCGCGCAAAGATGGAAAACGCGCGGCAGCCTACCCACTAAAAACCTGACGAAAGGCCACCTTGTCGCCACAAAGCTGGGGTCACAGGTATCCGTATTCCTCTGTAAACCCCAGCGGCGAGAGCCTCTTACGGCCCATCCCGTATCAGGGGGCTAACCCCCGATGGCCTCTTCGAGAGGCGCGCGGACGTCTCCGCGCACGCCTACTCGGGCCAGATTAGTGGGCGGCCGACTTCCCCAAGCCGACCGCCCTCTGGCTGGTGTTAAGGGGGGAGGCGGCGATCGTGCGCCGCTCTCCGACGCCCGGTCCTTCTGCGGCGGATGGCGAGCTCGGCGTTGGCCTCTCTCGCCCTCTCCGCCGCCTCCTTCTGCGACATCACCACCTCGCAGAAGGACAGGACGGCATCCCAGGACCTGTCGCTACCGGCCATGGCTGAGATCACAGCCGGCAACGTCAGGTCCGCCCCAACAACACTCTGGAGCGCCTCGCGCTCCTCAGTCCATGCTGGGCACTCCTCCAGCGTATGCTGGGCCGACTCGTCCGGGCAGTCGTCGCAGTGGTGGCATCGAGGAGAGGGCTCCCTCCCAGCGACCCGACACAGGTACCCCCCGAAGCAACCGTGCCCCGAGAGGATCTGCGTGGCGCGGAAGGTTAGGATGCCATGCCGCCTGCCCAACCACTGCGCGAGAACGGGGCGAACTGCGTCGACGGTCCGTCGGCCAGCGCAAGGGCGCTCCAGTCTGGACTCCCACTCTTGTAACGCGGCAACCCGCTCATCTTCATCCTCAATTGGCGCTGTGCTGGGGTCCCCGGACGCTAGACCTCGACGCCGACAATAAATCGACGCCAAGGAACGCGCATCCAGGTCCCAAGGCAAAAGGCCGGCCAGCAAATCTATCCGACAACTTTGTCATAAATCGTTCCCAATTAGTAACAACATTTTATAATAACCGTATCAATTTTAGATATACCTATTTATTTCTTTAATTAATAGAATGACTTGTTATTGGAAATAAAACTATCTTTTCTAAAAACTCTAAAACCTTAGTAGAGACTATGGTAATTTTATAAGTCTAGGACAAAAAGACTATATAGCCCTAACTTAAAGAAAGGGGCCCCTCAGGTACGTACGCACCAAAGGGGGCCTTTGCTTTGCTAATTATTGATGACATGGGGGACCGGGAGGTCTGGATGGTGATTACGTCATCAATTTTTTTTTAAATAATTTAAAAATAGATTTTGATTTGTCAAATAGACATGACAACTATACTTGTCTGTTCAAGGGCGAAGAGCATTTTCAGAGATTTCCCAAAAAAATTCAAGCGTAATGTTTACGTAAGCATAGGAACGGAAATAAGATCTTACTTTTGCTAACAAGGGGGAGGGAGGGGTTAGTAATGACAAAATTTAGTTTAAATAATACTTGAATGGTCCCAAATTTAGAATTAAAACCACCTCCTTTGAGAAGTCTGTTAAAAATATGATAACAAAATAGAAGCTAACTTCAGTGACGACACCATAGCGGTCGTCGATGGGCGGCATGTTCCAGAACACGATGCCAACTATCGTCTCATCTCGGAGGTAGTACAGCAATCCTCGCTTGTATCTGTTTTTATACTCTTCTGACCTGTTGTTATTAGTAGAATGATAACTAAGACACAAGAGAATTGTGTTGAATATACTCGTAATTAAGCATATCATATAGTAAAAAGTACTATATTTCCTTAAAATTCCTTAAATATTTTACATTCTCCTTTTAAATCAAACCATTTAATCTCAGTTTTTTTTTTCTATTTCACCATTTAAAACAGAAAACATATTTGTAGTAACTTAGTTTTTTCCGCTTTCTGTTCCATTCTTCGTTTACTATTAAGAATGCGCGAAGGATGATCAAATCAAATGCTTACTTATGACTCAGCAACCTATCGCATATTTTGCAAAATTTAAAACAAAATTAGTTTGAAAGGTTGAACATTTTTTTAAAACATCGTGGCATTGTGAAAACCTATCAGGGTCAAAACATTCTGAAAATTGATTTAATTAATTATTTATTTAATTATTTATTATAAGGCTAAGATATCTTAAAGTAAAAGATTAAGTCTAAATTCATTTATAAACAAAAAATATAATTGGAGTACTGTTATAATTGCGAATATTTGTATGTGTGTGTATGTTTGATACTCCTTCTCGCTGGAATGACTGATGGAATCTCGCTGGAATGATGGATTTGGATGAAATTTAAACGTAAATTTGACATCGAGTAGCAAAAACTAAAAAAACCCTACCTAGCCTACATACCTAAGGAACTCCCTAGATATCATCCACAGGGGCGGGGACACACCCGAGCAAATCAAGGGTTAAAGTCGCTAGTGGTATTATTTCTTTAACTCTTTTAGTCACCAGATACTCGAATATTATAATTAATGTTAATTAATTAAATATTAAATATTACTTCTTATAACAAGGCTGGTCACCGTCGCCCGCGGTTGGCGCTTGCGGCTTGGGGGCCTCACTGCAAGGCTTGAACACTCCCACCGTGGGCATACAAGCACCGATCTCACCTACGCCCTAATATTTTAAAGAGATTTTAGACAAATGCCACAATAATCTAAATTTAATTATTTGTATATTCAACTTATACACTTTACATATTCTATGTCTGTTCTAGTGTATTCGGTACATCAACATTTCTATTAAGAGATATGTTTATAATTAATTAGGCACGGTCAAATTAACCAAGTAACAGTAAAATAAAAATTAGATAAAAGATATTGTTCATTTTACCTCTAATGTGACATATTTGTCAACACTTAGATACATATACAAAAAAAAAACAATTACTTATGAAAATCGATTCACAATATTAACAATAGTATCGCGCAACATACAAACAAAGAACGTACAACCAAATAGATACTCTATTTGGTTGTACGTACGTACTCTATTTCGTTATTGAAGTCGTTCGAAAAACTAATCTAACCTCCATCTCCAAAGAAGTTCCGAGTTTGAGTTTAAAATGTGGCTCCATATTACATGGTATCCAGTAGCCCGTCATATTTGCGCCGGCCACGTAGCCTTGCTCCTCTGCATTGCCGTAATGAGCTAAACGAAGTCTAGTGTCCTTCCATTGAGAGTAAAAACTGGCTGCGTCCCCTGCCTAAGACCAAAGTTTGTTAGATCGTGCCGGTATTTCCTTCAGAACTATCACCCGCAGATGATGATTATCACTTTTGGTAATTACCATATTTGATGATTACCATATTTAACGATTACTCCATTTAATATCTATACTAAAAGTACTTTCTTATAAGCTAACTTTGTATTCAGCCCTTTTTACCGTCCCACTGCTCGGCACGGACCCCCCTTCAATGCGAGGGGAATCAGGTTATAGTCCACCATGCTGGCCACGAGCGGGTTGGCGAATTTCACATGTCAGACATGCAGGTTTCCTCACGATGTTTTTACTTTACGATAAGTGATTCGCACATGAAAATACAGAGTTGCGAGACTCGGGATTTAAACCAGCTTCATTTGGTTTCCCAAGAGTCCACGTTACCACAGGGCTACCATCTTAAGCTAACTTCAATTATTAATTAATTATCAACAGTGTTTTCACTGACAGCTGAATAATTGTTAAATTACATTAAACAAATAATACTTATTAATCGTAGTTTGTCATCAGCCAGTAAATGTAGACGCAAGAGTGTAATAAATATGATTTTCACAGATTTTTAAGTGCTATAATAAAAAGTTTTTTGTTATTGTCATATCATGCGAGTTCTTACCACATATAAATGTGTCCTAGCTTCTAACTCGGTGTTAACGAGAAATCCACCATTAACAGGGTCTAGTTCTAAAAATGATGGCTCCGCTAATTCATCTCGTGGCTCCGTACCAACTGCGACTAAAACCTAAATACAACAAATTATATTTATTTTCAACTAAAAAGGTGCACCAAATAAAAAACTTGTAGATTTCTTCTTGGAATTGGAAGAAACATGAACATTGGTTCGTAGATAGTGGCAAATTCATATCGCGTAATATAAGCAAGCGAAGGTAAGTCACTAAGTATAATATAATGATAAATATAATACTTTTTGTAACGTCAATGTAATATCTTTAGAATAGAAAAGAATAAATATTATACAGGTGTACACGTACGTAGTCGGTGACAAGAGATGATCCATTAGATAATGTTAATTCAACTCGACCATCTGGAGTCTCAAAGGCGTCATACACTTGGACTGTAAAAACATATTCATATATTAAAAACGCATAGTTCGTAATATAAAAACCGTTCGTGCTTATTAAAAAAAACTTCTAGTACTATCTTTCAACGATTGTATAAGAACATCTTGTCTAAGACCCACCGGTTCGATTATTGAGCAAAGTAATTGCACAAGTCATAAAAAAATATAATGAATTGCAAATAAAATAATATTTTTGGTCAATAATAAGAGTATAGCATGTTTCTCCTTTGTCGCTTTATCTTTTTTAGTGGAATGGCAAGATATTTTTTTATTTAGAGATATAGTTTATTGGCCGAAGATTGTCTTCTATACACTGCTCATCTATTTTGGTACATCAAGTAATTCAAATGTCAAGTCAGTGGCATAAAGAACCTTTTTTACTACATAGTATCTTAAATTTCTTGGACCTACTTTTGGGAATAACTGTTACTCCTTCGCACTTTATTTTTTCAGCCGCCCATTCGCCAATGTATTCTGGCAAAGCTCCTGCCATTATGCCTTTGTCCTTCATCATGTGTACAATCTGAATAGGCTCTTCGTCTTCATGACGTTCCACCTCTTTATCTATATGTATTTAAAGGTTTTTTTTATACGTACATATTATATAAAAACTAAATAAACAAGGGCCAGTTTTTTCTGGTTACAGAGAAATTATTCACTTTTCTAAAGTTTTTAGTAATATAATATACCTACATAATATTTAAAAAAAGTGATGTCTTACTCATTCTTCCCAAATACCAAGCCAGTTCACATCCTAAAAAGCCTCCACCAATAACTACAACATGCTTCGATGCCTTCACCTTCCGATATGCGATCTCCAAATCTCGTATAGTTCGAAGCGTACACACTTTATCTCGTACTGGTTTCGGAGCCGACTTAAATACTGATAAATTCTTTGCTTTTGCTCCTAAAAATATTTAGTTGATATCATAAAATACCGAATATTGGTAAAATGTGTTTGTTTATCCTTCCTGGGGAAGTAGGTTGATGTAATTTTATCAAAGATACAATAATTTATAGGCCGAAAAGTGATATAGATTTACGTCCTAGTATACGTTCCTGCTGTAAATGTATACTTAGAGTGCAAAAAAAATATATGAATGCAATGAAAAAACAATGTCATTGAATTAAAGCCAATTAACAAGTTTTCGTTATTTACCGGGTGCAATCAGACATCTCTCGTAATAAATTGGCTGTTCCCCACACAGTGTCTTCACCCACGCTACATGGTCGTCAGCATCCACCCTCAGAACACACCAGCCTGTCGCTATCGACACTGCTGGACCTATCTTCTTGCGGTAAAACTTAATAGGGTCCATAAATTGAGAGCATTCAGCTAAGTACATACTGAAATACAATTGTTGGGTGGTTAATTTTAGTTTTCATCATAATAAATATAAATTATAGTCTTCTTTTCTCATTTATTCAGATATTTTTTTTTATTTTGACAGAACTACATGAGTCAATCCTAGAAAGAAGTGAAGTATGAAAGTCAGTGGACCTAAAAAAATTTTGAATCTTTCTTTAAATAAAATTATGATAATTTTTAATGTACATGTAAACGTATTGTAATAAATGAAATCGTATCACCCAATAAATTTTATGAGTAATATCTTTCTATTACGTACGTATGTGGTTTGCCATCCTCAATGTAATTTAAGGTGGCCAAATCAGGTGGCTCAGGATTCCACCACATGTGTTTAGACATAGGTGGTTGCATATATGGCAAGCAATCTTCCTTTGTGATGAAAAACACCTACAAAACTTTGAAAATTAAAAATTCAAATTAAACGTCTCGATTAGAATATTAATTATTTTGCGTTTGAGCTTTTACATATAAATCAACGATTTAGAAAGGGCTTGCAGTAATTACCAATCAACAAACTTCTATTAACAGAATTGTGACTTTACCAATTTACGTTCAAATTAACCATTTGAACGCGAATTTGGAAAATATTAGGACTTAGGACTACTTACTTTCTACTACTTTACTTTACTTTCATATAGCTCTTAATTGAGCGCTAATTTGTACATGTTCAATGATCCATTACACAGCCTAAAATCAGGTCCCATATCCCAAAGGTAGGTAAATATGTAGAATACTTTACCTTTGCAGTTTTATCATGCTCCATGATTGCTCTGTAAGCTGCCCATCCAGCGGCCCCTGCTCCTATAATCAGATACTGAACGCATACCGGAAGATCTCCACTGTGGAAAGGATGTTTCAATTTGCGACGAGGACGCCCTGAGATAATTAAAAAGATTGTTTTGTATTCCCAACATATCTTCAAAAATAAAGTTAAACTTATCCGGTAGCAGTACTTACATTTAACAATATTTTTACCAAGTTTTTTCTGAAGTTCATAGTATAAGTATATTTTATAAATCTGTAATAAGATAAAGTAAATTTAAAAACGCGAAACTAATATGTTATAGAAAATACTACAAAATGAAATTAAAGTCTATTTTATGAAATGCTAACCATGTATTGAGTTCAATACCGATTCTAAGGATTAAATGTTCATTTTAAAAAGTTTAGTCTATCTGTTTATATTGGCTAACTTTGCCTCCTAAGCTTATTTTAATGGAGTTTAGGCAAGTAAAATTAATGACATTTTATCCCAAGTAAAACGATGTAAAAAAATTGGTGGTTGAACGATTAAGAGGAATAACTTGTTATTATATCTACTACGTTTATAAAAACGAAAGTTTGTATACGAGTATAATGTTTGTTACTCCTTTACACTGTAACGGCTGAACAGATTTAGATGAAATTTAATATCTACACAGACGTGATCAGGAGTACACAGACTACTTTTAGTAATAGAATTTGCCAAAAGGTGGTGCTGCCTGTAAATCATATAAACGAAAGGACGCCAAGGTACGCATCACAGAGAAACAGCGTAAATCATTAGTTAAGAAATAATATCACATCATGGTGTCAGCAGAGTGGCCAATTATAGATAGCATTACTTACTATTATCTTTCTTACTTACCAGCCCCATCAAACTAAAGAAACAAGCGAGAGACCAGACATATATCCAAGGAAATGGAGGTCGAGGCGGAGGCGGACATGGCGGTGGATCAGGTACAGGTTTAACAGAACACGGGCCCTTGGTACGAGCGCAGTCCAGCATAGGCTATAAGAGTACATCTAATTTGGGTTCTATTAACACTTCAAAGCACCCGAATAAAATATTTAATTAATAAATTAAAATATTAATGAAATTTACAACCGTAAAACTTTTGCTACTTTTGATGAAATTTTATCGAATTAATACTTTTACAAATAAAGAGACGTCATGAGATAAATAATGTATATTTATCAACTGTGTTTACAAATTTTGACAAGTGCACTTATATTATTGTGAAGATCAGAGCCCGTTTAGGTATGTGAATTGCTTTTCAGTATCATCATCATTTTCCATGTTTACTTTCCCAAGGTCTTCTTTTTCAGCCCGAGCTAATAATGTAAGTCTATCGAGAGGTTTCCAAGGTTCGTGAAAGGCGTATTTATATTTTTGCTTTCCATGATATCCAAGCTTGGCCAATGATTCCCGTCCATCATCAGGTTTTGGCAGTTTTCGGGGCTTCTCCTTCCAATAGTCAGGATGAATAATTGGTGAATTAGAGAACAAGTCCTGTACACCAGAATACGTACTCCCGAAGTTAATTTGCGGATTGTTAAAGAGCTCTCTTGAATCTTCACCCAGTACCTCCTGTTAAAAAACGATTCATATACAAGACTAATCTTAAGGAAGAAATTTAAGTGCGTTTGACGAAATCTCCCTCAATCGAACATGGGCTTCATTTGATATATATTATGGTATACCATGGAAATAAAATCTTCTTACCGATGACTTAAAAACTCGACATCCAACTCCTTCTTTCACCAATCATAGACGTCTCTCCTTCGCCTTTTTCTGATTTAGATTTGCCTCTACCAAATAGACTTTTTAGATAGCCAAAAAATCCTTGACTCTCAGGCTCTTCTTTTTCAACATGCTCTTCGCCCTGAGGACATTGCTGACCAGGATATTGGTGCTGGTGTCCTTGTTGGTAATTGTGCTCATGGCCTCCGGGCTGATTGATGGTGAACACGACTCCCGTCCACTGATGAAGAAAGTACAAGCTGGATTTCATTAGATATTTGAACACGGGCTCTGATTTCGTCTAACGCACTTGTTTGGAATGTTAAAACATATGGCTAGTTTGTGGTTACTGACTTTTAAAATTCTTATTTATATTTAATAAAAGATGAAAATATTTTACCAAATATTTTTTGGTAATACTTAGGTAATTAAAAAAAATTAAATTAGTCCCATCTAATATATCATACCTTCGCATTGCTTGAAGGAAGAGGTGGAACTACAACATTGGGTACTTTTATCCTATAAGGATCGTAATTTGGGGGTTGGGACTCTTGAGGACACTGTATACGCCAAGCGGGCGGCGGTGGATCACTTTTGGGCCAAGGCTGTACTGTCTTCCCTTCTGTTTGCGATACTTCCTTACAGCAATCGCCTTTGTCCTTTGTATAAGTTCGTGAAGCTCCTAAAAAACATTATTTTGGCGAAAAAAATTATATAGAGGCAATAACTATAATGTATCTTAAAAATAATATTTGGGAATTTTATTAAAATAAGGAGAAAACTTACGTATAATAGTTGAAATCTCTAAAACACCGTTATTACTGATTACCAGAGGAATAATTCGTCGGATGTGATTGCAACATCTAAATTGATTACTCAACATTTTGGTTTTTGTATAAAACTATCACGAAAATTTGTTTATAAAGGAGATATTACTTGGATTGGATATTTGACTTTACATTATTTTGTTAACGGTTTGAAATTTACACATCTTAGAATATTCTTCTTGACATCGATTGAAAATTCGAATGATAGAAGTAAGGTGTCAGATAAAATATTTTTTAGTATTATTAGTTTAATATAGAAAAAAGTTTACATTCGTAAGTCAAAACTATAATAGAGATGCAAATCTGGAAGTTCTAAAATTTTGTTGCATACGCTATATTGCCATAGGAATAAAACAGTAGGAAATTTAAAGAAAATATCTTCTAAAAATACAATAAGAATAGAATGGAATATGTTTTAATAGTAATAAATACACGTACATATCTTCCGTGAACTTCTGATACCTCCTAACTAGCTTTTTTGCGCAAAAAATTATTTTACGACAGCAACATGATGCTAACTGCATTTAATTGATATCATAAAAGTCGTAAATACCAACCAAATACTATTTTTACTTTTTTTTTAATTTAATTTAAACGATTTTTTTTAATTAAAAAAAAAAGTTTTATTTCGCCCCTATAAAATTATATTGACAAGAACTATATCATAAATTTTGAAGAATAAAATGCTGTATATCCAAAAAAAACAGATAAATGCTCTGCTCTACGTTGTAAAATATTCATTATGATTATATGAAATAAAACATTTCATTAACGAAAATACTGAATCAATTTTATTTTGTACAAAATTGCTACAAATCGATTCGACATACATACATTTAGAACACATTAAACCAACATTTATACAATAATACAAAAATTATTCAAATTATGTACTTTATTACATATAACCTTAAATATAACATTGCAAAAGACAATAAAATTGCTAATAATATTCACACATCTGCTCGCGCAAGCATACAAAATGAAGTTTTCTAAAAAAAATGTTAAGGAAAGATTCAAACCTACGACTATCATCACGTTACAATCTGTCCCACGAAGGCAGGTGAGCTATTTTTATGTTTAAATGATCTCTTTACACTAATATATCTTGCGTTCTAAAGTCGACAATAGTTTTCGAGTAAAATGAACCAATTTCTAATTTTTTGAAGTAAAACTTCTTTAGAATCGTTGTGATTTAAAACTCAATGAAACGAAAATGAAACGGAAATGCGACACTAAAAAGAGACCAACACATAAATATATAGGATTAAGCCGGCGATAGAATGAGATAGAATACATTGCCATGTTGCCATGGTAACCGTTGTTATTTTCTGACAAATATATAATATCAAGCATGGATGACAAATAAAAATATCAAGTTTCATTTCTACCATGTGTGAATTGTACACAAACGCACTTTTTTATCTATAGATACAGATAACTTCTGGCACACCTGCCTCAATAAAATAGGTTGTATAGTTGATTGTAAATGCATTGAAATTTAATTTAAAAATTATTTACTATAATACATTACTTAGTTTAAAACTAAGCATAATACAATTAAATACCGTAAGAAACATTATTTTAATATTAAGGTTCTTTTAATCGATTTTATATTACAGGGTTTGTTTTTTTTTGTAGAAATTATCATATTTGCTTTAAATAATTAAACGAGACGTGACGTCGAATAATGAAGAATTATTTCCATACTTATTATTTATTACTCAGAAATATTCTATTTTAGTCAACTTACATCATAATAGAACATTTTATAACTTATTCTTATCACTTAAAATAACTTTGAATATATAATATGCTTTTTTTTATTTGATGACCCGATAGATGGCATCCAAACATCGATCAAAAAATCACTAGATACACAATTCCATGCAAAAGTTCTCTTAAAACTGTCACCAATTGTGTTCGGGTAATTATTCTAGTTGATATAAATATACATATATAGTGTAAAAATGTTCTAATGAGCGCTCATTCGGTGAGGACATTTTTGTCACTGATTGTGTATCTAATACTTATTTGATCGATGCATCCAAAAAATAAAATCTTGTGATCTTTGAGTTCTTACAAAAATTTACTTATCATTTTATCGCGAATTTTCCAATTAGGACAATTTGAAAATAGGGGAATTACCAAAAAAGACCTTATTCGAACTATTATGAACTTTTTAAAAAAGAAAAATAGCTAAATCGGTCCATCTCACTAACGAGCAGAACATTTCATTTTTATTTATATATAAATAAATAAGACATGTAATTAAAAAAATACTATTCCGTTCCGGTCCCTTCCCGTATATTATATCATTTTAACCGATTTCATAAAAGGAGAGGATTATATATTCGTCAGTATTTTTTTAATTACAAATTTTCTAAAAAAAAAATTTAGCCATCTTTTAATTTAAAATTAAGACTAATTTGAATACTGACTGCCTCTGGAGTGGTCAAGTGTCAGTCAGACATTAACTTATATATTTCATAGATACATTTGCATACTGAATGATCTTTACACTTGTTGTTTATATACAAATAAATCTTATCTTATATTTTTAGACAAGGTAAGATTCTAAATGTGTAAAAATGGAGATCTATTAAAATTCAACTTATCATTTCGCATTAAGAACGAATAATCGCACAAAATAAGTTTCCTTAAATCGTCAATACAATAATTAGCGAAGTCTATGTTTTTTGGGAAAAAAATCTTTGGAAAATAAGCATTCATTAGCATACATCTAATACTAATGTATTGCTAGTTTCCAATTGGAGAAGAGACAAATCATTACAATACTATATGTCTCTCTCTTTGCCCCTCTATCTCACTCTCTCCCTCTATTTCTCTCTATCTTAGCTACTTTATGGCTTCTAATCATGACCAAAAATTAAAAACCACCACAATATACCCACATTTTGTCGCTACGTCGCCTTTGTGGTTATTTGTCCAATCAAATCAAATCAACAACCAATTTATCGAAAGAGTTTTCAATACAGAGTTATTGACTTTATATGTCAGTTTTATTGTTATTAAATATACGTTTTGCTTAAATATAGTCTAAAACAAATATCTTATATATGTATATAAATCTTAAAAATAAAGCTTTGTTTTTAAAGAAAAAATACTATATACTGTAAAGTACAACAAGTAATGGTGGTTTGAAGAAATATGAACTGAGGCGACGACTAGTCACGACATAAGATAACATGCGTACAATGTAGCATTTATATAGTCCATTCGCTCAATGACGGCCATCGTTTTTGGTGGCACCAGTTGGCGCCACTTGCGAGTGAGATCCTATCGCTGCCGTTGAAAATGTATTTGTTAGTGCGACAAGGACAATAAATTTAATACATATAATAATCATCATTATTAGCGAAAATAGTTCTATCAGATTTTAAATAATCTATCATAACCAAATAAATAAAATAATTACTCTTCTGTAGCTCTTCTTTAAACCAGTAAGATTTACTGTGCCGTACTTTGTCTGCCATAATTAATCAGGAATGGTACAATCTTTACAATAATCATTAATATTAGTGAAAATCCAGGATAAAAAGCTCGCAAACAGGCGTTCAGTACCATTTGACAAACAAAAATATTAAAAAAATTATTCAATAAATAATGAAAAAAAAATATCTTGCTAATCTTATCTGTATAAATATTAGAAATGTGACGGTTTGTCAGTGAAAGAGAGAGAATAACAAACATAGTATGTTTGTTATTCTTTCACACCAGAACAGCTGAACGGATCTGGATGGGCACAGAGATAGATTATATATAGTCTGGAATAAACACATAGGTTACTTTTTATCCCGGAAAAATATACGGTTCCCGTGGTATAGGTTTGTTTTTGTTTTCCAAGTTAATTATACATAACTTATTTATTATAACTATTCTGTACACTGGTAGTATCCATTAATACACCCTGACAATATTTCTCAATTATCCAACGATTTTAGCTTCTGTTCATATTTGGCTGCATTCTTTAAATACGGTTCTAGACGTGGTGGTAAGGGAAGTAAAAAACGAAACAAAAAGATAGATATGTCTGCCAATAAAAGTTTAACATCCACCCGCAAAGTCACCAATACACCCATGACCATGGATGGTGCTTGCGACAGTGCTGAAATATCGGGAAAATAACCCTCAAATGTAAGGAATAAACATGGTAAATATCCCGATATCCATTATAATAAGTTAACGGCTGAGGTTACACATTACTTTTCTAGGTAAAAAAATAAAAGAGAAATCGCTAGCTGTCTCACGCACTTTGACTCGAAAGCTAGTGATATTGATACTAGATATATTATGCTCAACAAGTATATTTCTTTACGGTAGAGTAAATAAACATAATTAATTTTCCTATTATTTTTAGCTTTCAATTAACATAATGACTGCTATACTTATATATGTTAATAAAAATTAAAAAAACCAACCATACTTAATATTATAAATGTGAAAGTGTGTTTGTTTGTTTGTCCTTCTTTCACGTCGAAACAAAGATACGGATTGGCGAGGTTTTATGTGGAGATAGTTTGAGGCTGTTTTAGAAAAGAAATGACGTCAGAACAAAATTTATTGCGTGTTCAAAATTTATTTCAAAATATATCAGAAAATTGCATTAAAACTTTGAGTAATACAATAAAAAATGTTTTAAAAGAAAACAATATGGAATAAGCATATTACAAGATGTAAATTTTAAGAACTCTCTAATTAATATTGCATGCCATGCAACCTCAAGCAACCTCAAGCAATTGACTGTTCCAATTAAAGTGGTGAAAAAAATTACTGGCATTAGATAGTTTTATATAGCTAAATCTAAATTAGAGGTTCTGGTCGTCGCACCTTGTGCTCTTTCCGTGATAAACAATATCATTCCCAAGGAGGGTTGATATCCTGCCCTCTACAGCCGATTGGAGGTGGCCCACTTCGGTGGGCGGTGTTTGGTTTAATGGGGCTGCTCCGGGTACCTCTCTGGCATAGCAGAGTTGACTGTGGAGCAGCCCCATTGGTTTTTGTGGTCTGCCTAGTATTTAGGCAGACCTACCGCCGGGGCGCCGTAGTAGTTATGCGCAAGCGATCCTGCGGCGTCCCACTAAGGCGGGGGGAAGGGATGTCGGGTTTTAGTGGGTAGTACCGGCTCTTCTAGCCCGTGAGCCACACATCACTACCTGGGGGATCAGGTGGTATGCGTAAATGCATTCTCGACAATAAAAAAAAGGAGGGTTGATGTCAAGCATACCCTAAGGTGGCCGGTCGTAAAACTTTTGCCAAATCCTATCAGCAGTACAGTAGATGTACTGCGCCGACCTCAAGTGATTGGGAAATGGGCAGGGAGATGACGAGTCGGAGGGCTGGAGAGTGACATAGGTTACTTTTACCGCGGGAGATTATCTCATTCGCACGGGAAAACACATTATAATACAACCCACAACAAGTCATCGTAGTTATGTATATACATAAATATAACATATAGTCTATACTCTATCTATTCCATATTAACTGTTAAAACGTATCATATAATTAAATTTCATATTTTATATCTCATTCCCGCAGAAAGTTACCACGTAATCCAATTTCTAAGAATAATAATGAATTATATTAAAAATATAATTTTGACTTTTTACAAAATTGAAAAAAATAAATAAAACAAAACAAGACAATTTAGCAGTTCCGAGCAAAAGGTAGTTTTTCTTTAATAAATTAAATTTCCGATACTGCTTCAATACTATTAGTATTTGTTACTAGAAACAAAATTTGCATAATATTATCAATCTTATCTTCTATAAATAAAATAAACTAGTAAACGGATCAGTCGAGCAACAAATCTAAGCGTTTATCAAGTTACATTTATTATATGAATTGAATAAACGGCCTCACATAAATTAATATCGAAAACATATACATAGATAGACAAGGACAAGTCCAAAAGTGATTTTTTTATTCACGAGGAGTAAGTTAAATTTTTTTAGACAATAAATTTGAAAAAAATAAGCGATTTTCAATAAATCGTATTATAAAAAACTACTAAATAAATTCAAGTTAAATTAAAAAAAAAAACAAAAATAAAATCTTTTATGTTTAACAAAGCTAAAATGCGAATGAGACGTCAAGAGATAAAGTAATTAGTCAATTCAATTCAATTCTCTTGTTAATGGCTTAAAAGCGTGCCACTTGAGCGCACAATACTTCGCCAATGTCATGTAGAATGGAGAAGACCCGAAAGAGATTGGAAATTGGCTTGACATGTATGACAAAATAACAACAATGAACAATTAACCAGGGACAAGGCTGAAAACACACTAGCGTTTGCCAAATATCAGAATCTCGATATTCACATAAACTATACCATTATTGCATACAACTTCGGTCCGATTTAGCTTATATTTAAGTCAAACTATTTACAAGCACTCAAAACCAATCAATGGCAGATCGACTGGTAGCGCAGCCACTGAAAAGTTTCTTGTTTAACAATTTGGCTGTGTAGTAGGGTTGCCAATTTTGGTGGCATAGTCTATTGGAGTTTATCTATGCCCTATTCGAGTCCAAGCAGCCAATTGATTCCTTGGGCTAGGAAGAGAACTAGTGGCTGCCAGGCGATCACCCATCTGATGCAGTCTAACAGCTGTCCATACAGTATGTGGGGTCGGTCCCATCTGATACCTTGTTAAGGCGTTCATTGCATAATTATTATCTAAAAAGGAAAATCAACTTCCAAAATTTTACAAGAATTAATTCAATCAATAGGGAGTACTAATTTTTGTTTAAAATATAGTCCCTCTTTCTCAAGCACTAAAATATTATCTATTCATTAAAAAAATAATCATGAAAATCGGTTCAGTAAAAATATTACTACTAAATTGTTCACGTTTAAAAACTAAACAATAAATTAGAAAATATTCGAACTCGATACTCGAACCTAGGACCTGTGGATCTGCATCCGTACATGCTAGCCACTACACTACCGCGGCAAAGATATACATACCATAACTGAGCTACAGGCATATTAGAAAGGATACGGGTTAGTGAACATGAACTTGAGGTCCACCTTCTCCTTGCAGTAGGGACAGCTCTGCTTTTTGCCGACGATGCACCAGCCACGTATGCAGAACTCGTGGAACACATGGCTGCAGGACAATTTGTATGTGTTCTCTGGAAAATTTAAACTATCTCGTTAATTTTTAAAATTCCGTATCCAAATTGTATTTATTCAAAATAATATTGTACATTTTGTTTTATTTATTTTTAGGGTTTTGTAACATCCTGTGGCGATCCTGTAACGTCAGAATCATATAGGGGAGGTTCCGTTTGGTTTTAGTGGGTATTACTGACTTTTCTAGCCGGTGAATCCCAGTTAACCATTTTTATGTATGCAGGTAGTATGCATACATGATTTTCCCAACGATAACAAATGAGGGTTCCGTATCCAAAATATAAATAATTAAAATAAAATAATATTATATTGTTTTGTTTATTTTTAGGGTCCTGTATCAAAATTCCATACATGGGACAAATGCGAGTCTGATAGATGCAAAGAGCAGACCAAACTTTAAATTCACCTTAAAACCTCAGACATTTTCATGTGCAAATCATTTTCAACATGATTACCACTTATCTTGAAAAAATATTAAGAAAAACATCGTAAGGAAACTTGCATATCTGAGAAAACCAAGAAGTTTTCGAAAGACATGCTCAGTCCACCCGCACTTAGTCCGCGTGGTGGACTATGGCCTAATCCCCCTCATACTGAAGGGAGGTCCGTGCCCAGCAATATTAGCGGAGACATAAAGAGCATTTTAATGTTCGTTGTCTCCGCTAATATTAGTAGAGTATTTTACTATATAGTATTTATACTCACCTAAAACTCCCTCCTCATTAACGTCCACCAGCAACTTGTTCCCGCACACGGCACAAACATTGGTCTCCAGATGTCGCGTTGGCATTCCTTCTTTTGTGTAATACTGGAAAATAACATATTATCTTTATTTTTTCTTCAACCGACTTCGAAACATGGAGGTCTTCGCTTGAGTTTTTATCTATTGGGGGCGGATCCTGTTTTATAGGACTATATTTGGCAGAGTTTATGAGCACTTGACCTATATGTTAGCGGACATCGGCTTCCTGTTATAAGCGAGAAGCTCTCTGTATGTTTTACTCCGTTATGCTAAAAAGGCTGGACGGATTGGGATGAAACGAAAACAGATAGATTATGACCTACAGTTGACTGTTACTTGTGTCTAGGGACAGTGGCGCTAGTGCAAAATCACAGTGTAGGATAAAGATAATGCACCATATAAAGTATTGTTAAAGAGGAAGAATATTTTAAATACAACAATAATCTTATTAAAACGTTAAATATTCGCATAAATCTAAGAAAGTATACTTATATTATTATATACTATAAAATATTTTTTTTAAATAACTCTATATAATTATTAACTTTATTAGATCAAACTTACCCCAATTGTAGCCGCCATTTTATCAGTACAATATTCAGCCACATCTCGTCCCAAAACACCAAAATATAGACCATAAAATAAACATATAAGGCCCGTGTCCATCCATACTTGCGGTTGTTGGTTGAAAAATACATTAATGTTTAAGAAAGCTAACATCATGACTATATAACCAAACAAACCCAAGAAGCAACTCGCTTTGTATATTAAGTAGAACCATTTGTACACCAATCTGAAAAGTAATATTTACATATACTGTAAGCAAAAATTGAGATTTTTTTAATTAATATAAATTTTTTTAATACTTTCTTATTTTCATGAAAATATGTTTATTTACTTTTTCTGTATGCACATTTCTACAAATGCACAATCTTAGCCCGCTTAATAGCACTTTCTCAGTACATGCATATGCAAACAAACATTGTATTTTAAATTTTAATTACTGTATTAAATCCCTCAACGACCGCGGACACGCCGACGTTACAGTTAACAATAGATTTCTTAGAAATTCAATAAATTTCTTAGAAATTTACCTGGAGGTGTTATATAGTTATCTGTGACAACTGCCGAAGTAACAGAGTTTAAAAACATAAGTAAATAGCCAGGGTTTCTCATAGAGTAAGATAGAATAGGCTTTGGAAGAGGAACACCCTGATAACTCATTTTGACAAGGATCTGATGATCTGCAGCCCTTAGACATTTTGTTGGATCTGCAATCATTCTTCATTTACTATAATAATTCAGATGATTCATCTGGTTTATCAATTTTTTAAGTGTCTGCTCCATCAAGAAAGCTACTCCAATGTACGCTGTTATAAGCTGTTGTGCAGTTTCATTATGTCGTATCTTTTGAGCCGATTTTGATAACCCTGAATGGCTAGTTGGGCCTTAGACAGATGATAAAATAATTTAATGAAGTAAAAAGTAATACATAAATATATTACAAACCTTGGTGTTGTGACGGACATGGGTCTATGTGTAGATTTCCATATAACTAGAGCAGTGAGTAGAGTGAAGATGGTCCAAATAATCAAGAACCGTGTCCAATGGTTGTGGATGCTCATAATTAACGGTATCGACCACATCGCCACCATTGTGAAAGACTAAAAGTATACATAATACTAGTGACTCACCCTCGCTTCGCTCGGGTTCGTCAGTGGGTTGCTTCCCCATACAAAGTTTTATCCACATTTTCACCCCCTTAAGATATGATAAAAACTATCCTATGTCCTTTCCAGGGTCTCAAACTATCTTCTTACCAAATTTCATCTAAATTAGTTCAGTAGCTTCGGAGCCTATTCGGTACAAACAAACAAAAAAAATCTTTCCTCTTTATAATGTTACTATGGATATAGAAATATTGTACAACTATTAATCACTAGAAGATAAAGTATCAGAACCAATAATTTAAATAAATAAATTACTGTTTACTGTAATCTAGCGACTTAAACTCGCTTCGCTCGGGTGTGTCCCTAGGTACGTTTTAATTTCTTTGAGTGGAACCCTATAACTCTTTTTCTAAAATAAAAGTAACCTAAGTTACTTCTTATAGCATCGGCTATGTGCCAGTGAAAGTCCTGTCAAAATCTGCCCAACCGTATCGAAGATTAACCAAAACAAACAGACAGACAAAAACTTTAAAAGTTGTGGTTTTCTTTTAAATTTTAAAAGTCATATATTTAACTACTCCATTTGCATTAGCAAGCATGATACTGGTATGAAAAAATAACTATAAAAATAAAACAAAATATAACTATTATAAGAAAATGTAAAAGAAATAAAAGAAAATTAACTCACTGCATATGACCTATAGTGTATTTTCTTCCATTCTGAAACTATGATTTGGGCAATCACAAGAGTTGCAATTAGAATAAAAACCATTGTCATGTGCATAGAGTCATGACCGCGATGTTTTTCATGTAACTTCTGATGATCATATCTGTGAATTAAATAAATGTTATTATATTAAACATTTTATATGGATGGATGTTTGTTATTCAATCACGCCAAAACAGCTGAATGGATCTGGATGAAGTTTGGCACAAAAATAGATTATAATGAGAAAAGCACATAGGTTACTTTTTATCCCAGAAAAATGTACAGTTCCCGAAGTATAGACTTGTTTTTGTTTTTCAGAGCAAGGGATTGACTATCTATTCTATACTAAATGTTAAAACATACCTAGGGACGAACCCAAGTGAAGTGATGGTGAGTCTCTAGTCTTTACTAATATTATAAAGAGGTAAAGTTTGTGAGTTTGTGACGTTGTAGGAGGTAACAGAGATTACCTCCTACGTCACAAACTTTCATCCCCATTTTCAACCCCCTAAGGGATTATTTCCGGGATAAAAAGTATCCTATGTCCTTCCCCGGGTCTCAAACGATCTTCTTATCAAATTTCATCTAAATCGGTTCAGCAGATCCAAAGGTTACCCCCTACAACTTCACAAACTCATAATTCACAAGCTTTACCTCTTTAAAATATTAATATAGATAATGGTAGTTTTCTTCCTTCATCCATTTAATTATACACAATATTGAATGTTGTAATATAATTAATACTGATTAAAGAATTATTTGTTAATTTGTTATTGGGGCATTTCACATGAAGCGGACAAGGAAACTAAATTGAGGTTATGAAAATTGTTCATACTCTGGTCAGTTATAGTTCTAGTGGACATGGATGTGCAAATACATTATTTTTTTCGTATGAGGCTTTATTGCTGAGTTATGAAATTTTAAAAATTTACGAAGTATGAAATCCGTACTTTTTGAATGCTTATTATTTGTATCAATCAATTTGTAAAAATGTCTAAAAAATATCGTTTCTGAAAGTTAAAAGGATGCAGTTTATAATTTTTTTATCGAATTACAAATTTGTTTCTTTTTACGTATAGTAAACTGGAAGTGAAGATTTCAAATGGATGTTTGAGTAACTTCGACATATTTTTTTTTTTAATATTTTAACTTTGAATTAAAGCTTTGAATATCTTAATTCTTCACAAAAAAAATTATAATGTGATCGCCAATAGTTTAAGACTTAGAGCATATTGAGTACATACACATCGCTAGGAGAATTTTCGTAGCAGTCATGTTTATGAGTTAACATGCTAAAATACTATGCTGTTACCATTTTATTCTTTCATTTAAACATGTATAAATATAAAAATATACGAAATTAATTTCTTTTTTTATATAAAAATAATTAACAATACAAATATTTGTTATAAAATAACAAGTTCATATATGGGAGTCATATACGAAACGATAAGATTGTGAACGCCATCTCGTAGCAAAAAGAATTACTAAGAAATACAATATCTATAGTCGATACTTGCTAGAAAGGGACAATCTGTTTTATTATAAACAAGATTTTAACAAAGAAGCACAGTTACACTTTCATGCCACAGCTCATGGAAAAGGGCCATGTGATGGTCTTGGGGGAAATCTTAAACATCTGGCAACACGTGCCAGTTTACAGTCTACCAACAAAGTTATCACTACACCTTTGAGGTTGAATGAATGGGCAAAATCTTCGTTGACTGAAACGTCAATATACTACTGCTCGAAGGAAATTATACAACAAGAGCGACTTTCTACGAATCCGTTTTGCTTCCGCTATCACTGTTCCAGGAACTAAAAAACTTCATGCTTTTCTCCCAACCAATGAAGGTCTATATGTTAAAAGAGTGCTAGTGCAAATAGTAAAATTGTAAAAATTACAAAATAAATTTATCTATTATAATTAATTCAATTTCAATCTCAATTAATAGAACCGTACCTGTTCCATACATTTACTTACTCATATGATTTTAAGTGCTTTTAGCAGTATATTATTGTATAGTTGTGATTTATATGTACTCTCTTATTTCACACTCGAAATTTGTTCAAAAAATGTAGTGAGATTTTTTAAGGAAAAATTATATTTAAAAATTGAAAATACTTACTATAAAAATAAAAGAAATAAATTAATGGTAATCATATTTGTTAGCAGTTATATTTTATTTCTTAAATATCATTTTACAAAAAAAAATAGAGTAGGTATAGTATGTTCTGAAGGCGACAGACTCAAACAAAAAAGTATTGGATGTGGCGCGCAGTGCGATGTGTATGTACTCAATATGCTCTAAGTCCTAAACTATTGGCGATCACGTTATAATTTTTTTTGTGAAAAATTAAGATATTCAAAGCTTTAATTCAAAGTTAAAATATTGAAAAAAAATTATGTCAAAGTACTCAAACATCCATTTGAAATCTTCACTTTCGGTTTACTATACGTAAAAAGAAATGAATTTGTAATTCAATAAAAAAATTAAAAACTGCATCCTTTTAACTTTCAGAAACAATATTTTTTAGACATTTTTACAAATTGATTGATACAAATAATAAGCATTCAAAAAGTACGAATTTCATACTTTGTAAATTTTTAAAAGCTCATAACTCAGCAATAAAGCCTCATATGAAAAAAATTATGTATTGGCACATCCATGTCCACTAGAACTATAACTGACCAGAGTATGAACAATTTTCACAACCTCACTTTATTTTCGTTGTCCGCTTCATGTGAAATGCCCCTATTAATATACACCATGTAGAGTATTTGCTTGGTTTGACCACATTACAGATAACACTTAAATACTTAAAACAAAATTTAATTAAATATATGAATATTTTGATATTTTTATATTCAGTAACTTTTATTAGTAAAATTAATATAAGACATTGTAATACTTGCCTAAGTTTCTCATCAGGTGTCATTTCTTCATATGACTGAAAATATATAAATAAATTACTTTTTCATTTTTTTTATCCTACACACCTACACTACCTATCCTACTTAGTTTTAGCTGCCACGGTGGTGTAGTGGCTAGCATGTACGGCTGCACACCCGGAGGTCCTGGGTTCCAGTCCTGGGTCGGACCAAGTTTAGTTATTGAGTCTTTCTGTATAGTAAGCCTCAGTAACTACCCGGAGTTGAGAAGTTGGCGGTGTTTCACCCCCGCGCCTCGGAGAACACGTAAAGCCGTCGGTCCTGCGCCATAACTCTCACTGGTCGTGTCGAGCAGTCGTCCCACCGGAGTACGAGTGACAGGAATACAGAGTGCACTTGTGTCTGCGCATACACTTGTGCACTATAATATCTCCCGCGCAGTTGTTTAGTCTCAATGAGATTGGCTGCCGTGGCCGGAATCGGTCAGGAGAACATTATCATCACCTATCCTACACATAATTATTATAATAGCGATAAATAAATGAGCGCATTAAAACATTATATAAGGGCGCTAACAATCTTTTTTTTTACTATCGTTTATTTTAGAGCACTAATCAGTAATAAATAACTGAAAAGAACCTATACCTTATTGCCGTCGACCGGCCGATGAAGTTCCATAGTGATATATTTAATTTTCCTTTCACTTAAAAATTAAACGAACTAATAAAAATTGTATACGATCACACCTTTTATTTACTTAATCTAATTAAAAACTATACCAATAAAGGTTATCACTCGCCGCAACAAATAATTTATAGATTTTAGATTAAACAGTGCTGTTATACATATTCTGTCAAAATGACATTGAAATTTGAGATCAATGAGTTGTGAAGTGTGAGTTTATTATTGTTATTTTTTCTTCGTTTAATTAATAACTGAATATTGAGGTTTTTGTATTGTTTTTAAAGAGAAATTTTAGTTTTAAAGAAGTCTTTTTATATTATGAAATAGGTCCGTTTGATTATTTCCGGTGATATTTTAGGTCTCCCTACACGCGCGTAAAAAAATATATGTATAGTTACAGTTCATAATGAGCGTAAATGAATTGATTAAAGATATTTTTTAAAGGACATCGCAGTCTTTTGAAAAGAATATAAAGTTATATTTTGTTATATAATATTACAAAAGTCTGTTTAAGTATATTATTCTCTATAGTCTATTTATCTATGGATTAATTAATGTCAAAGTGAGTCAAATTTTGACATTTGAAATATAAATTTGACATTTAACAATAATGATAAATAAATCTATAAAATTGAATGTTACAGAGATCTTTAATTTCTTAGCTTTCAAAAGCTAAGATTTAAATTCAATGCCGAATAAAGGTACGCAAATGTATGTTTGCATCATATCTCTAATATGACGTGACAAATAACAATTGTATGAATGTAATCTAAAAATGTAATTGTCTAGCAGCCTGCTGTGGTTTCGTCCAGCTTTGCTTCATTTTATTTATTCGACATTTGAATCATTCTGATTTCTGTATTATTTTGAAAAGTAGGGGGCACCCCTTTTATTTTGAAAAATATTCTTAATCAGCACTAGGTCTAGCCGGTTTCATCGATTGTTGACAAATCAGCTCAAATAATTTTTATTTATTATTTTAATTACATCCATTCAAGCTTTACATTACATACATACATTAATGATATTATAGTCCCCTGACCAGTTATTGCCATAGTTATGCCATAGTAATGACTTATGACACTAATAGTTGCCACCTTTGAAGAATGTATGAGGTTACACAAATGTGTACTTAAAATAGGTGCATTTTCAATTTTTTTTTTCTGTCATAATCTATAAATTATGTCCAAAACTATACAATTTTGCATGTTTTATTATGTTATACATACTTTTCTGAACTGCAGCTACTACTTCAGACTCATCCTCACACAAAATTAAATCTTTTTATGATAATATAATTATATAGGAAACTTTAAGAAGGTAACAATTTTAACAATGCATTTTTTTATTTAGATGCCCGACTGCCTCCAGTAGATCCAAAAGTGGCTGTTACCATGCAACATGTTTGTAGTCCTAAAGCTCTAACAACCAAATCAGGAATAAATAAGGTATGTTTCTTTAAATCGCTATATTTATGATAAGTTTTATAGAAAAAAAATGTCATTTTCTTAAAGATGGAAAAAAACGCTTGTTATCTAGATATTTAGTAAGAATCAAATGGTCTTTTAAATAAAAAAAATAAGAATAATTTCATGGCAAATAATGCCCTTAGTCATGCAATAAGTGTTTCTGAAGTTACTCTGGGACTTTGTACTAATTCTAAGCAGAGAATCAAATTATCAAGATAAATATGTCTATTGATAATTATCAAGATGGTTATCAGATATTTATCAAACAGATAGCCAAATACCAATAGCTACACAACGATTGCTAATTGTTGTGTAGCTATTGGTATTTGGCTATTTGCCTATCATAATTTATGTTAGAATAAATTATACACTTAACAATCAAGGTAATCTTTTATTGTTATTATTTTCATAATTTTGACGGTATTTAAAAATAAATGTCAATTTACTACAACTTCAACTACTTACTTTGTTTTGGCCGGATGCGGAATGAGTGAACGATATGAAATACGACGCGGGGAACCCCTGGTATAGACAAGAAATGGCGCGCAATCCAATACACGCAGCTTAGTACAATTTGAAGATTTGCAAATTAAATATTTTCTATTATATTTATCAAAGATAATTATCAACCTATACTTGCAATAATAAATATCATGGTAATTGTCAAAGTTGATTATCAATGATAATTATCGTTTCGAACCTTGATTCTAATTATCTTTGTGTAAAAAAGCTGCTTGTTATTGACATAATAGAATATGAGCAGAGGCACAAATAAAAAATTATAATATTCTTATATAGTATGTTAAAATAACACTTGAGTTATTTTGTTTGAGTGTTGAGTTAAAATACAGAATACAGAAAAATACAATAAAATACAGAAAAATAAATAACAGTTTACATAATTTATCTTTATTATATACACATATATAGAGATATTTTAGCATACAAAAGGTTTTTAAATTTTGCATAACATACATTTTGGCGCCAGATCATAAAATTGATCATTTCATGATATGATCTGGCCATAATATATACATATATTTATGATTGGAAATAGCAAATAAAATTACCCTAAACATTACTTCACTATACATAATATGTAAAACATATTCAATTCATACTTCCATACTTATTACTTACTTTCTAATATTATTATAATGTGAAAGTAAATAATTTTTCAATTTTTAAATTTTTCAAATTTTGAATTCATTTCGTTAATTGTGGGTAGGCTGTCTGTAACAACTATATAATACCTTAGAGACATCTAACACCTCAGTCTCTGCCGTGACCATGATTGTTGTAAAGCATTCGAAACGTCGAGAACCAAAAATAATTAACCCAAAATAAATTCGCGAAAAAATCAGAAAAAATAGTTTTATTTAAAATGTCAAGTATTCGCGTAAATCTAAGAAAGTATTAGATTTTTTGTAGTTTTAGCGCGAGCGAAGCCGCGGTTTCTGCTAGTACTTCATAAATTTTACTATAAAAATATTAGGTATCCTAAATAGGAACTATTTATTATCATTTGAGCAATTTAAATAAAATTATCTAATTACCTCAATTTTGATTATTGTATCAAACATTAGGAGGTTTAATGTTTTGAAAGTAATGGTTCAAAATTGAAGCAATAATAATTCTTACATCTTGACCAAATATGCTAGTTAGCCATTTTTACTAAATATATAACCTATATGCTTCATTATATGTTGACTGACCATGGTCCCCAAATCTTTTGCAAATACGACATCCAAATGATTCAATTTAAACCAATCGCCAATAGGTTGAATGGCTTCTAAAACTCCTGTAGAATTTAATTTTCTAGCGAGACGATATATTTGCTGAAATAGTAAGAAAAATATCAATATTTTAATTGTTTATTATAAACTAGTATAGTATATATGGCTATGGTACGGCTGCATACCCAGAGGTTCGAGTCCCGGGTCGGGCCAAGTTTAATTATTGAGTCTTTCTGTTTAGTAAGCATAAGTAACAGTCCGGAGTTGGGAAGTTGGCGGTGTTGAAATCCGTGCCTCGCAGAGCACTTAAAGCCGTCGGTCCTGCGCTTTAACTCTCACTGGTCGTATCGAGTAGTCGCCCCACCGGAGTATGAGAGTGACAGGAATAGAGAGTGCACTTGTGTCTGCGCGCACACACGCTGCACTATAATATCCCCTGTGCAGTTGGCTATTTTCAATGAGATTGGCCGCTGTGGCCGGAATTATATTAATATTGAATTTATGATAGGCTCAACAATTCCACATTAGATTCCTAATATGTTTGTTACATATCTATTTTTCTTACACATATGTATGTATTTAGAATTGTGGAAATAAAAATCTAAGTAACTTGGCACATTGAGATAATATTGAAATAAATACTATCAAGTATCTTCTCCATTATACGTGACATTGGCAAAGTAATCTGTGCTCAACTGCCACACTTTGAAGCCATCAACAATAGACTTGAATCGAATCGTAACAAAAAATATTTAAATACACCATCCTAATAAATAAATTTATTAGACTAGCGACTATGTGATTCTTTAAGTTGACATAACTTTTTTATTTATTGATTTTTTATCGATTAAAATAAAACTAATACTAAATGTTAAGTGATAACAACAAAGATCTCAACACAATACATAAGTGAAAACCGCACCCAAACCGGTTAAGCCGTTTCTGATATTAGCGCGCTCAAACGCACAAACAGGCAAAAATTATAAAATTCACTGTTCTGATAAAAACGCCCCAATAATAGCTTTTCTCAAATATCTTCCATACGCAGACGGCGATCATTTACACTTTTATTATGAGTATAGATGGTGTTTTTTCTATTTTTTCTCTTTTCCTCGATCTCCCTTTTCCCCTTTTTTTCTCTCAATTTCTCAATAATCTGGTTATATACGTATTTCCACTATTTGCTTCGATTCGTCGGTAATACAATATAAGCTATTTATGGTGGTATGTTTAAACTAAATATATCTACATACCTTTTTTTCAGTGAGCTTATCATTTTCACAATACATAAGAGTAACAGGTGTTTTTACATTGTCGAGATTGTAAGCCCTCACCGATCCGAACAAGCCGTCTTCCCATGCTGTAAATTCATCTGGAAATAATGAATTTCCTTAATATCAACTTTACTGTAGCTACATTTTAAATAAAACTATATTTTCGGGGTTAAAATTTAGTATACAAGGGGTTTCGGAAGCGATAAATTGATCTAGATTAGTCTTTTCTGGGAAAACGCGTGTTTTCGAATTTTCATGCGGTTTTCTTTTGCATAATAATGCGAACATATTTTACGTGGAATACCACGCAAAATATGTTCGATAATTTCGCACACTCGGGCATAAGCATCATGGTCAAGCGGCCAAGGCGCAAGATTGAATAAATGTCTGGGTTCGAATCCTGGTCGGATACAAAGGTATAATTTTTTTTTGTATTTATTCAATTTTTTTGTTTTTTGTTTTAAACAAAACTGTACTTTTGAACAAAAACTCCGAGTGAAGCTCGGTGCCCCAGGTACTTGCACCTAATTTAGAATGATTTAAAATATTGTGCCTTTGTTTTTCTTCCGTGTTTCTGGGTAAGACATTGTCTGTATAAATTTCGAAACGTAATATCTACACCTAAGTCTATTCCGTAACCCTCATTACTCGTTTGTCTTAAAGCATTCAAAATCACGTCACAAAAATACATAAAAATACAACCTCGAGAAAATCCTAAAAACATGATCGACTATTCGAATTTTTGTGACACAGTTTATTAACTTATGCCACTACTATGGTTTTTAATTGTTATTATTACTATGTACTTAATAAATCTTTAAATTAATCGCTTACTACAACTCCTCTTTCCACTTTCTATCTTTTTTATCATTATTTCCTCATTTATTCTAATTTATATCTGCACCCGAACCAATTACAGTATTTATTCATAAAATAATTTAATAATTACCTGTCATAGCAATTTTACCGAAGTGCTCCAATTGGCGAAATGACGCGGGCTGCATCCTCGCTATTGCTAGTGGCATGATATCCTGTTCACAAATATTGTTTTTATTATAATCTAAACTTCACATCCAGGCATTGGGTTATTGAAATAGATCAAACTTTTCATATTTTTATATTGTGACAAGTCAACTATGTAAAAGAATTTATTACGCGCTTATTTTCTTATATTCTTAACACAATACGATGGAGATAGACAATAGAGTTATAAGACAAAAGGATCGTGATATTTTATATGCTTACCGTGGAACGAATGGAAATCGCGCTGCCGACTTCGTAACTCCTGATCAATAATAATAATAATAATAAAAACTATTGTATACACAAAAGAAGAAGAAAAAAACAATTGAGTGGTAGTAATATGCACAAGAGGCGGCCTTATCGCTAAAACAGCGATTTCTTCCAGGCAACCTTTAGGTGTAGGAAATAGCAAAGTGTGAAGTGGAAGGGGTGTAAAGTATAGTTACAAATAACAGAGTTAGGAATATATACATATATTACCTGGGCCACCGAGCTTTACTCGGAGGTTTTCGCCTCAAGTAAAATAAAAAAAAACTAAAAACTTGAATAAATATTAAAAAAAAACAGTAAAAACTTTGTATGCGACCGAGATTCGAACCTGGACACTTGTGATTGTTGATCTTGCACCTTGGCCACTTGACCATGATGAATGCGCCTGAGCGTGCAAATTACCTACCATATTTTGCGTAGAATAATGCAAAAGAAAACTGCATGAAAACTCGAAAATTCTCCGACATAAGACTAATCTACATCAATTTATCGCCCCCGAAACTCTCTGTATACTAAATTTCATGAAAATTTTTGGAGCCGTTTCCGAGATTCAGATTATGTGTATACAAGAATTGCTCGTTTAAAGATATAAGATATTATATTTTATATACGTATATAGAATAAAATAATAATATCAGTTCAACCAAATAAATAAATAAATACATACATACATATTATAGGTATAATGTAATGAAACGCAAGTAAGATTTTATTACAAATAAAAATATTATGTATATTGTAGCTATACACATATTAGTACATATAATTTAAAAACAAATAATAATGTAGCAATCGGAAGGAATTCAAATGTATAAAAGCGTTCTTATACACGTTTTTTTTAAATCGTTAGAATTTTCGCAATCCTAACGTTTCGGGAGAGGGAGTTCCAAATGCATAGAGGTCATAATACATTCAATACCTTCCTTGAATCCTCTTGAAAAAGAACAAATAATAAATATAGTATAAAATATGTAGTATAATATGGATTCTTACTGGATCATACTGCTCTTCATCATTTCCAACGAATCGGTAAACTACTCTCATGCAGACGTTTAATCGAACTTCTCTTACAGAGCACCAGGCTTGGACGAGCAGATATAGAGCTTCAGGATTTATATCGATTGCCAATACCCCAACAGATCGAAGATACTCCTGAAATTTTATAAATATATATTTTTTTAACATTTAGTTAAATGAATGAATGAATGTATTCGTCCTTTTACGTAACGCATTAGTACCTTTTTACTGCAAAACTGTATAAATTTAAGATATATTTAACTGCTAGTATTAGCAGTTTAATATATCTGGATTTGGATGAAATTTAATAGACACCTGAAGTAACACAACCTGCTGCATACACAGCATGTAGAGATGCATCCAGCGAAGTGAGAGTATGTCGCTAGTTTGTATATATTTAAATATTATAAATGTGAAAGTTTGGGAGTATGTATGGATGTTTGTTACGCAATCACGCCAGAACGGCTGAACGGATCTGGATGAAATTTGCCACAGAGATAGATTATAGTCTGGAATAACACATGGGCTCCTTTTTATCCCGAAAAAATATACGGTTCCCGAGGTATCGATTTGTTTTTGTTTTTCTAGAGGTGAAGCGTTAGCGTTAGGTAGTATTTTATAAGAATCTTACTTAAACTATACTTACGAGAATTGGAAACTCCTTTAGCGTCCATTCGGCGAACAACTTAATATTGGTCAAGTATACCGCTGGCGCGAGCGCCACGTACGACAACAGTTTGTCGTTGTATTCAGGACGTTCGGATAACATTATGAAGGCTGTAGTAGTTCCCATGGAATATCCTACGTAAAGTAACTTCTGTAACCCTGTAACGTTTAGTACTTTGTCGATACATGCGGGTAGGTCTAGGGTGCCATGCTCGTGAAAACTGCAAAATGAAATCGAAATCTTTGGACAAAATATCACGGCATTTTTTTAAAAACTTGCTATAATAATATATTCTAAAGTATTACAGTAAAATTATAATTTATAATGCATTAGCGTTTGTCCGCGGCTTCGTCCTCGTGTTTTTAGAGTTCGGGATGGACAGAACCCTTATAATTACGTAATGGCCGTCCGTTACTTACAGCCATTTTACTCAAAAACTCTTGGAGCTACATGACTGGGTCAAATAATCTGTAAAATTACAAAGAATATATTATATAACTCCATACGTAGCAGGTCGTCGCACTATCTAGCAGGGCGTCCCACATTGCGTTTCTCTAGCTGTGGTCTCTACTCGAGAGGTACGCTACCAAAAACACCAAAGGTTCTTCCTGTACAACCTAATAATTAATTATTTTTTACAAACTGCATCATATTTTATCAAAAGTAATACCTGTACTCCCAAAAGCGTCGATCAGCCCTTGTATAGGTTTCGTGAGATGTATAAATGTTTCCTCGGAAATTGGCGAGCCAAACGTCATAGCCCTCATCCGCCAAAAAGTATACTGGAACATTAAACAAAGCAAGAGCACGCGTATTAAACTAAAGGAAAGAACAATAATTGCAAAAATTAGCTTGTTTCTAAAAAACTTATTTGGAAGTTTCTTTATTTATTTCGGACGACGTATGCCCACCATATTTATAATATTATCTCACTAGTATGGTAAATACTGCTGTGTATTTTATTTTTTCTACCCGACTGCGCCAGAAGGAAGATTATGTTTTTCGAGAGAGTGTGCGTGTGTGTGCGCGCACGTGTGTGTGTGTTGCGTGTGTGTGCGTGTGGTGAGTGTGTGTATGTGGATATTAGCTTGAGAGGTGTCGTTAGATTCCTCTTAATTATTGTGAGGATGACATTAGGTACCTATATCAAATATGTATAAATTGAAGTATATAAAAATTGAAGTGGCCGATATCTGGCGCTATATTATTTCTTCAAATTTTTTTCCCTCAAAACCTGTTGAGTGGGGTATAAAAATAAAGGGTTTTATAAATGGCTTACGAAAATATATACAACGTATATGTTTTAATATAATTTGGAATAAGAAATGCTAAAAAACAACAAATAAGAAAAATGCTTATATGTACCTACATGTTTTATAATAGCTGTGTGTGTATGTCTCCTACTGCATAATACTATGTTGCTTCGTCGATTTGTTGTCATATTTTTAGTTCCCTTTTTACGCAGTTGGGTTTTTATTTATGTAAATAATTTTTTTTTTTTTTGCTTTTAAGATATTTTTCTGTATATCTAATATGGAATTTATATTTGTGCCGATACATCAAATGGCTGTAAAATATAATCTCATTCACTGATTCACCTCCTTACCTATACTCTTCCCTGGACCCATAAGGACGAAATCTCCACTGCTACCAAGGAGTCCATGACCAATTAGCACGACTTTTTTGCCTTTGAGGCTTGGACCAGTTTTTCTAACAGTTCGCCTTCCTGAAGGTATTCGATGCAATTGTAAGATGTAACCGTCGGAAGTTACAGCTCGATGTAGTTCAATTGGATACCCCGATGATGTAACAAGTTGTGACTGAAAAATATATTATCTATCGTTAATCTATATATATATATATATATATATATATATATATATATATATATATCTATATATATAAATAGGCAAAGACTAAAGAGTCCAGTGACTTTTACACCTTTGTTTTTAACCGATTTTCTCTTTTTTTTTCGTTTACTAATAATAGCTTTTGACAAGCTTTAGTGTTATCAATATTTTTTTTTTGGAAATAGTTTTTTTATATAGATAGATACCTAAAGACAAGAGTTCAGTACTTTTTTCTCGTGATGTTTGTCAACCGATTTTCATATTTTTCCGACAAGTTGCCGAAGTGGGAAATATTTGTTTCTAAAGTACCTACATATTTAACATCATGCAATATTTCTAAATCTGTCAGTGGTTAGTATACAATACGTAGACTAACGAACGAATGAAACGGTACTAACAGACAGACAGGTAGACTAGAGTTTTATATTATTAGTTTGGATTATGGATACGAGAACAGCGATCTTATATTTTTATAAAAATCGTCATAGGCATTCCGTAAAAAACTTCCTAGTTTTTTTTTTCAATGTTACATACCTTCATAACTATTATAACACTCCATTGTTTGTCAATTTGTGTGTTGCATATAAATAACCTCAAAGCTATACGTGATATAAGGAAATTATATTCGCCACGTGCTGATGTTTGCTTCTATCTACATACTTATATTCATTATTACTATAAAGATGAGAATGAATATGGATTTTGCTTTTTTGTTTGTTTGTTTGAATTGAAAGCGCTTGTTTTGAGAATACCAGTTCAATTTGATAATTTCTTTCGCAATTTATAGCCCCAAGTATTAATACTTAGGGAAGGCTCAGAAACTAAGAAATTGTATATACATAAATGCCCAGTCAATAGAAATACAAAAATATTTCAGTATGTTTTATATTACTTCTCATTTCCACAGGGCCTTTTCGAATAAAATTATAGTAAAACCAAATAATACACAAATTAAACATTAGCATTGGAATAAATAATTTACTCCAACCACTAATAAGTAAAATTCCGATTCTGCGTCCGGAAATCCAGCCGGGCGCGAAACCAAGAGACACACTGGGAGGTGGGTAACTTCGGTGGGCGGTGTACCACGCGGGTTGCTTCTGGTACTTCTATGATAGCAGAGTGGACCATAGGAGCAACCCCATAGTTGTTGTCGTTATGGTCTACCTCGGTAGGCAGCCGGCGGGGCGTCGTGGTTGCGTGCGTAAGCGATCCTGCCACGCCAGTGTGTTATTTGAGACGGGAGAGGTTCCGTTGAGTTTTCGTGGGTAGTACTGGCTTTTCTATCTGGTCCCGCCCCAAATGTAGGTATGTTTGCAAGTGGTATACGTAAATGTAATTGCCAACGTTTAAAAAATATAATACGATAAGTATATAGTTTAACGCATCATTCAATGAACCTATAGTTTAGACACAGCGTGTTTTACATAATGATACTTCCGCTTGTTTCGTTCACTTATATTTGATCGTTTGTATTAATTTAATTGTATAAATATTCTAAACCATACTTTTGTTGCTATAGACTACAATAGAGGTAATTGTTTATAAAATTTTCTATTATTAGTATAGATATATTTATTACTTTGCAAATAATGCAGGAAACAAGTAATATATACTGATGTAGTACCTAACACTTGGTACTGGTCTTCTTCTTGAAAGGAGTAATTTGTCATATCTAGACTAAGACGTCTGTCTGTTAGACTAATAAAACTATATAAAAAATATAATTATTAAACGTAATGAAGCTCTTTTGATATTAAAAAATTGCCCTTTTTCTTTTCCAAATACGGAGCCCACTATCCTAACTGTCTGGAGCTTTCCTTACAAGCCTTAGGAATGTGACATAATGTGTATGGAGTTTATGTCAATTTTTTATCTCTCTTAAAAAATCTTCAGATTGACAGATTATTGAAAAATGAGCTTTTAGTAACTTATGTACTGTCAATTGATGACTTACCGTTCTTAAAGCACAAACACAATTTTTACAAGCTTTTATTTAGTTTCACGTGTCCGGGTCTGTGTAATAGAATCTTGCAAGTAAAATTTGACCCACTTCCCTGTGTCCGATTGAGCTGACATTTGGTACACTAGTTTGGTTCCCGATACAATGCATGATTACCTAAATGCCGCCATTTTTAATCCAATATTTCCATAGTGACCTTTATGATGAGGGCATCATATGAAAGGGCTTGATGAGCGAAATTCGATGAGTAAAGTGACGTCACTGTAGGTATATCCAATATGGCGAATGTCGCACAATGACGATTTATCATTACAAACTTTTATTTAATTTCAAATGTCCCGGTGTCTGTCTGTCAGTAATCAAATGTTGTTAGTTAAATTTGACTAAACGTTATTCTAAATCCAATAAGGTGGACTATGTACCTGTGTAGATAAACAAGAATATAATACTTAAAATCAATAAATCTCGCAACGTTTTAACTTTTCGACAAATATCATATAAATTGTGTAGTGTAATAAATCATTGGGTTTGATTTAATTAAAAGTTTATTTTCTTCTTTTTGGAGCATTTAAATAAAAGTTTGTTTTTAAAAATGTTTTTTTTACTATTAATTTATTTGTAATGTTAAGGTTACAACATAGCTTAAGGTTACAACAAAGTTGTAATTGTAACTTCCTTTAATGATGTTACATTTGCGCGTAATTAATAAATTACAATGACTGTAAAAAATAAAGAAAATGAATTGCATTCATCAATGGTTGATAAGATTATTTTACACGACAAAAACATAATTAGACGATACTTAAAATTCTTAAGATATAGGTAAAACTAGCATTGCCCGCGGCTCCGCCCGCGTTCAGATGACCAAAAACCAAATTCTTAGGTTTTACATATTAGTATACTCTTACAATGCAGTTTTTGTATTTTTTCTCATAAATGAGATATTTTCCCGCGGTAAAAAGTATCGTATATGTTAACCCGGATAACCTATCATCATACCAAATTATATCAAAATCCGGTGGTATTTCCGTGATGCGATAATGGACAGACAGACAGACAGACAGACGGACAGACAAATATTCTAAAAACTATAGATTCGGCCTCTGTATAATGTTTATTTCAATAAGATTTTTTCAAAAACTATTTAATGTACAGATACGGCTTAGTTACAATTTTATTATATGTGTAGATGATTTAACTGATGTGTGTAGCATAGCTGTTATCGTGAAACTTCATAACTATAGCTGGAATGAGAATATGGACTGTAAAATAAATAATCTAGAAATAAAAAATAAATCAAAATCGGATAAGTGACAGTCTGGCGCGCGCACTGAGGGTTCCGTAGCATTAATCTTATTTTCATCGTTCAGTTGTATGGAGCTCCATCGCTATATTTAAAGTATTGAAATTTGACTACAAACTTATCCCAAATTTCAACATTGTAGCACTCTACATTACATTACATTGTAGCACTAGCATTCATGGAGTAAAATAGCTGCGAGGAACGGACAGACGAACATGACTTAATTGTAAGTGTTCCGTTTTAATCTTTTGTCTACGGAACCCCGAAAATGTTGTAAGGTACTTCGGTGCCATTGCTTTTCTTCCAAATTATTGTATAATTTCCTAAGTCAGCGTCTCTAATAATTATGACTTTTGAGATGTCAAAAACCCAATTCTCTTCTATGATCATCTCTGCTATAAAGCAATGAAAACGTTACGAACAAAAGATCGAAATAAGACCGCGATATAGTTCGAATAAATATTATCTATAAATAATATTGTTTCAATCTTATAATATCTTTATGACCGCATATTACGCAAGGAAATAATGCAAGGGTAAAATATAGTAAGATTGAATAGTTTTACTTGTATTATTTTTAGATGATTATACTTTTTCCGCGGTTTCACCTGCATTTTGAGCATGATTTCTATAAAACATTCGATACTTCGGGAAGCAAAAATCAATATAAATCCTCGAAAAAAAAAACGTTTTTTTTTATTTAAAATGTAAAATATTCTGATAAGTAGTAAGAAAGTATCAGCGCGTTTTTAGATCTATTTGCACACATGTCGTTTTTTTTTATTTATTCAACATAGGTACCTACTGTAAATGCGTGAAACAAGTGCAATTTTTATCTAAAGTAATTCTGATGACAAATAATCTATTTCAAAATAAAATTTAAAAATAAGTTTTTTATGGTCAATAAAAACTAAGATATTTTTTTTATTTTATTTTTTTAAAGTGTTATACCACGGTAATGTAATGCATAAATATTACCGTGGTTATGTGTATTCAATTTTATTGAAAATTTGTATGCAATTTTATTAATCTCAAAATGCAACAAATTAGTTTAAAAGTTGCTATCATCAAACCTCTCATCATTCACAATCCACATAACAACTTTTCCAAGTACAGCTAAGTCAGTATCAAATCTTAGAATCTATTGTAAGTTGTATAAGGCGTTTTTAGATATAACATTCTTCATATCAAACTATTTCTCTCTTAACAATATATGATAAAAATTACATACAATATTACATACGTTTCCTTTGTCTTTTCTTAATATACAAGATAAATATTTAGTTAAAAAATATTTATACTAAAATAACATTATACTTTTACTATAGAAGGTATATTTGTACTATCCGGGAACTTATAATAAATAAGTTCCCGGATAGTACAATTATACCGTAGACGAGCTTTTGCTCTCTACTCCGCTTTCGTAGTTTATCTATGTTTAATTAATACGTTCCTTAAGGTCAAAGAGTGATATTAAATAGCGTACAATTTTTTTCAATGCAAAGGAATTTCTAAAGAAACAGTTTCAAAAGTTATAGTGATTAGCGTGTCCAAACAAACAAAAAGAATAATCTTAGCTTTATTAGTCATATAATGGAACCAATTTAAATATTGGCCATATAAATTGTTACGGAAGGATACACTCTAAATACAAAGAAGCATAAAATTTTAATTGAAATTGACATCACGTGCAGATATTTTTTGTACGCAGGTTTGCATTCAGAGCAGTGCTTTATTTCCTACATCACCGTCAGTCGAAGCATATTAACATAGACAATTGTAAGTCTCTAACAAAGATAGTACACATGTGCATATAAAATAGCAAATATATGTTAGTTTAAGATTAAAACTAGTTTTTTTTTAACGTTTAGTATAGATTTTTCAGAGATGAAATATTTTCAGGCAGTAAAAAGTATCCTACATGCTGACCCGATAAACAGCTATCATCATACCAAATTTCATCAAAATCTGTCCAGTGGTTTTCTCGTGAGGCGAACAAAGACAGACATACAGACAAAAATTCTAAAAACTATAGACTCCGCCTTTGTATCGATAATAATGACTATCTCAATAAGATTTTCCGAACAATATAATTACATATAATGTACAGATTCTACTCACAATCAGTTAGAATTTTATCTTGCCTCATTAGTTACACGGCTTTTGGAATTGAGTGGCGATTCATTAGTTTATGTAAAAGGTAACTTAAAGTTGTTTTTAAAAATGTAGATTTTTTAATACGTAGTCATAAAGAGAGTTAAGGTTAGGCTCATA